TAGAGACAGAGTGAGGAGCAGAACAGGCAGATCTGAAATACACTGCTGAGGGAAGGAGTGGGTGAGACGGGAGAATTCTGCTGGGCCATGTGGATTAGCTCCCTGGCTGGGATTGAATTTAGGCTGCCTTGGTTATGGTGCGATAGTACTGAGACTTATTCCCTATGCCACCAGGAAGGCCCAGGAAATTAAGATTTTATCTTTAGAATTTTATGTTCGAGATGTTTTTTAGGCTTTCAATGAAGTTGTTAAGGGCTCACTTAGATGTCAGAGGTTGGTGCTTAGGTCAAACTTAAAGACTAAGTCCATACATTTGATACTCATCAACATAGTTTTAATGTTTTATATTTCAGACCCCAATACCAAAGGAGATTATCTACACTGAAGAGAAGGGAGGCAAAGAGTCAACTCTGTTAACATTGAGGTGATGGGAAAAGGAGACAGCACAAGAAACAGAGATGGTATGTTGGAGAGTATGGTTTCCTAGAAGTCAAGTAAAGAATTTGTTTCCAGAAAAGAGAGGGCCTCCCTAGTGATGCAAGGGGTTAAGATGCAACCTATGAAGCTGTCTGCAGCCTCTGCAGCATGAGTTCGATCCCCTCCCAGGGAGGTACCCACATGGTGCAGCAGACCTCTCCTGTCTTGTCTGCTGCTCCCCTCAGCAGTGTATTTCAGTAGATCTGTCTGTTCTGTTCCCCACTCTGTCTCTGGTGAATCCTCTCACCCCCCATACCTCTGGCCTGTACCCTGTTCTTGTATGCATAAATAAATAAATCTTTAAAACAAAAAGAAAAAAAGACTCATCAGATTTGTCATAAGTTACTTACATGTGAACAAGTTAGAAGAAAACTGATACTTAATCACATTGTGAGTTTGACAAGATAGTATGCAGTGGAACAGCGAGGGATAAAGGTTTTCAAAACAGAAGAGGAAACTAGATGAAGACATGGAGACTATGAACCCAAACAACTCTCTAGGGATTTCTACTTCTGGTAAAGTTAGCCTATGTTATACCTACTGATTCTAAGAATATCTAGAAAAGCAAGCCTAATTATAAAATCTCTCCACCTAAAAATAAAGTATGACATAAAATGCTGAAGAATAATAAGTTTTGGAAGAAGAAAGAAACTGAGGGAGATAAACTCAGCATTGAGGCTATTTTCTCACAAGGAAGAGGTAGCTGAGAGTTGGAGCAACTGAACAATACTTTCAATAAGCTCCAGAAACTAAAAGGATGAAATTTGTAATCTAGAGTATACCAAACAGGATAGTCAGTAGTTACCTGCTACCACTTTGAATTGGAATCCCAAAGAACTGACTCAAGAATAAGTGTGAACCAGAAGTAGTTCAAGGATGGCAGAGACAAAAGCATAGCTTCAAATACACTCAATCCTTAAAAGTGAGTAAGGTAATCTTATGTTGCTGGTGCCTATCACTATCTACCAAAAGAAACACCAATTGTCTCTGGAGTAAGATAACATCATTTAAGACCTCAAATTTTTTAAATAATTTGTCAATATTCAGTGGACTCAATAAGACTAGCCAGTCTTCAAGGGACAGTCATTGGTACCCCCACCCTGGTTCTCTGACTCTCAGATCTTGTCCAGTCAGTCACTCCCTGCTCTGGTGGAGGTGCACAAAGGGGCATTGGTTTTAATAAGGTCAATGGCTTCTGCACCATTACAATTTTGGCACATATGTTCCATTCTCTTCTTTTCTCTCTTCAATGTTTTCAGAAATATGAGCTTCTTCCTGAGCGAGGCCTCCTGTCAGTGAGATCTGGCCTCCAGGCAAGGGATTAGAGAGCTCAGGTGATCTCATCACTCTCTTCCAGTTCAATAATTTTAGAGCTGCATGAAGCAGCAGCTTGTTCTTGGTACAGGTCAAATGGACATCCATTAATAATTTTGGGACTGTCATACACTCACTAGCAATAAATGTGAGGACCCCCGCCCCTGACCAGAGGAAGAACTAGAAACAGCTAAAAAGAAGAATGGACTGGACTTTAGCCTCAGATCACGTGTATGGTCACAAATCAGTGATTTGTTAATTTGTTCAAGTATAAAGATCATTTTCAACAAATAAGAGATCAAATAACTTATTACTTCTTCAAAGGGCCTCTTGAAAACACCTGGAAAAATTGGCTTGAAGAAAGAGATTTTAATTAATAAAGTCAAACATAACTGAAAATTTGCAAACTGGAAAATTTCTCAACTTTTTCTTTGAAGACAGTTTCTCAAATAAGGAGCTACTACATTTTGTTCAGTTTCTTGGAATAAAATTCTAGAGTTACTGCTACTAGTGGAAGTTAAACATTTTTTTGTTATTAATTTGTATGTTTTATAGACACCATGCTTAATAGGCCATAATTTCTTTCAGGCCTCCTTCCTTAGACATGTGGTCTGTGGTCTGAAAATCAGACTAGACTCATACATTTATTTTTCATTGCTTTGAAACATTGAATCTTACTCATTATTAAAATAATAAAAGGACATCATTTTAGTATTTTTTTAAAACCAAAAATTATAAGATCCCTATTGCTCAACTGCATAAAGAACACAAATTCCAGGGCCTCCCTGGTAGTGCAGCGGTTGAGCGCTAGGTTGCGAAACTGCCCGCAGCCTCTGCAGTGCCAGTTCAATCCCTGGCTGCCAGGTGAGGGTCCCACATGGCATGCAGACCTCTCTTGCCACCCGCTGCTCCCCTCAGCAGTGTACTTCAGTTCTTCTGCCTGCTCTGCTCCCCGCTCTGGCTCTGGTGAATTCTCTCACTCTCCCGTGCTTCTGACTGTAGCCAGTGCTTATATAAATAAATAAATAAATCTAAAAAATAAAAAGAATACAAATTCCAGCCTCTCTGTGGGAGTGAAGCGGTGGCTCGGCAGTTCTCAGATCCCTCACTGATTCATGTTCCCTGTCTGGCTTCCCAGCAGCAGCTGAGCTGAAAAATAAGAAAAGGTGTCTAAATAGATGAGGGTAATTGAAGATGAGAAAGATGAGTCCTTTGAGGGCCTCCGTGGTGGCACAAGGGGTTAAGACAACCTACGAAGTCATCCACAGCCACTGCAGCACGAGTTCGATCCCTGGCCAAGGAGCTACCCACATGGCGCAGCAGACCTCTCCTGTCTCTCCCGCTGCTCCCCTCAGCAGTGTATTTCAGTCAATCTGCCTGTTCTGTTTCCCATGCTATCTCTGGTGAATCCTCTCACCCCGCACACCTTTGGCCTATACTCCCGTTCTTGTATGCATAAATACCTTTAAAAAAAAAAAAAAGAGTCCTCTGAAATACTATCGGAGGATGATGAGACAGTGCTGCTGTTCAAGTACAGCTCAGGTCCCCGGTGTATGTGGGTTGGCCTACAGGAATCCAGTGTCAATATATGAGAGCTACATACAATGGCACTTCTACTGGCAAACAGAAGGAATTGTGCATGCCCCGTTGCTGGCTGGGGATGCCGTTTGAAGAAATCTGGTACATGTTGTCAACTATCCCAAAGATAATAAAAGAAGAATGGATGAGACAGATGCTTCATCAGCAGTGAAAGTGAAAGGAGCAGTGCAGAAGGCATTTGACTCATCATGGAAAACAAATGAACAGAATCTAAATGGTTCAAGAACCTTATGGTTCAGATCAAGAAATATATTAAAACTAGTAATTTGAAAGGGGCTGGCTTTGTTTTATGGAATATGAAACCCAGGTGAAGTCACAGTGACATATGATAGATGGACGATGACTGTAAACTTTCTAATTCTAAGCAAAGCCCAGAGAAATCTTTGAGAAGCACCAAAGCGTTCGTTGGTTGCTGTACAGAGGACATGACTGCAGATGAATTGCAGTGATTCTTTTGCCAGTACAGAGTAGTGTTAGATGTCGTCATTTTCAAATTATTCAAGGCTTTTGCCTTTGTTCATTAACAGGCGATCAGGTTGTAGTCTCTTTGTGGAGAGGACTTGGTCATTAAAGGAATCAGTGTATGTGTATCTAATGTTGAAGCTTAGCACAACAGCAAAAAACAGAAAGAGGTGGAAGATTTGCTAGTCATCCAGGTAGTTTTGGGAATCTGGATGGATTTGGTTAACAGTGAGTGGAACTAGCCTGGGAAACAACCGAGCAAGTAATGTGGGTGGAGGGATGAACTTTGGTGCTTTCAGCATTAACCCAGTGATGATAGTGAAGCCTGGGAAGTGCTGCGGAGCAACAGGCTATGATGCGCATGTTAGCTAGTCAGCAGAACCAGTCAGGCCCATCTGATAACCAAAGCATGCAGAGGGAGCCAAATAAATAAATAAATGGACTCTGCTCAATGAACACAATAATTGTTTTTCTTAATTTGTACCATTAGCTCTATTGTCTTTATTCATAATAAATGGTTAACATATAAAATATAAGACTCTTAGTTTTGCTAATTATGAAAACCCTCTTAAGTATAGTCAATTGGGCTAGAAGGTCTTGACAGTTGATGTATAGTTTAGTCTTTGAGGAACTGTTCATGGTATGCTTTAGACAATATATTAAGGTAAGTTCAGATGAGTTGTACAAACTCAGATGAAGAAAATCAAAAATACCTTTTCTCTTTAATAGCATGAGTTTTATTTTACCTGAATATGTACCTGATATTATTTGTTGCTTTACTTGCATAGACACAATCTGTGGTTTTTTTTTTTTTTTTTTTTTGAGGCAGATGTTCCATGAATAACATCCAATTATAGGAAAATGAAAGTTCTTTAATAAAAATCATAAACACTGGATATACTTGTGTAGTTGATTCAGATAATATATTTTTTCACTGCTTATGATAGCTTTTAATGAATAGCAAGAACTGGTACTTTAAAGCTTTTTATTATCTACAATGCAGTCTGACAAAGGAGAAATCATTTTGTCATGCTTAGCTTTACTGCACATACAGAAAGTACTAAGGATTACTTTAATTTTTGCTTTGAATCAAATCTGCAAGAGAATACATATATTTCAAACTCATCACCCACAAAGAAATATTTAGCTCCTCAAGTTATCATTTTATTAAACAAATACAAATTTGAAATGTTTATGATAAAATGCAGCAATATTGAGCAAAAATGTGTGCGAACAGTAATTCTACAACTGTGAAGACATCTCCATTTTACTAATTTTGGTGACATCTTCCCAACCATGTCTGATCTTCAGTATCTTCTTCCTCAAGCATGGCAGGAACAGTATGGCTTTACACATCAGGACAACAATCGGAAGGAGAACAGCTATCATGAAAGTTGGAGGTGTATACCATATAAATTGTTTTATATCTACCCATTTATCCCAGGCAAAAATCAATGCGTGTATTGTGCCCAGCAGAAGGGTTACAATTCCTAGCTTGCTCTGCAAAAGAAAACAAAAATTATCTTGGTGAAGACTGATTCAATAAAAGTTTATTCCATCCTACCTCATCTGGATCTGTTGTTGCTTAGAACGTCTTTCATTCATCTGTGATTATTTTGTTCTCACTTTTGTGAACAACGTCTACTTGTATCTTTCTACTATTTTCACGTCCCCTGCTCACTCACTTACTTTAGGGTAATGTCTTTGTATCTAAACTATATTAGTTGAGAAAATTCACCACCTTTCTCCTTTCAATCTCAGCTACCTGACAACACTGTCTTCCCTTTCTTCACACATTTCTCATCTCTTGTAAGATATTTATTTTATGGTTGTTTTTTGTGTGTTTGCCTTAATTTTGCTTATCAGGAGACATCTAAAATGAGGGACTCTGGCTTATCACAGGTTAACTGCAGGATCAACGCCACAATTTGTACATGTTAGGTGTTCAATAAATATTGGTTGGTTGACTGAAGATTACTTCAAAGTCTTTTGACTTTAGTGATCTTTATCAATTGTGAAGGCAATTAAAGTGACGGACTCTGATTTTGGCACATTATTGCAAAAGTGAATGGTCTCGGCTTATGTCAAAAAAAGCAAACATTCTGATAAAGGGATAAACAACAATTAATTCAATGCTTGAACGAAACATAGAGATATGGAGATGTGGCAAAAAAAAATTTAGCTTGCATTGGGATGCTTGGTACCATCAAGACAGAATTGCTTAAAAATTGTTCACCTAGGTAATTTTATGGCACTTTGACACAGCTCTTCTAGACTTTTGATTTCTATCCACTATTCATTGGAAATGGTCATGAGCCTACGAGAAGGAACCTGACTCACAATTAAAGATTTATTGTTTTTAAAATTTATTTATGTATATAAGAACTGGGGTGTAGACCAGAGGTGTGGGGGCAGGGGTGAGAGGATTCACCAGAGACAGAGAGGTAAGCAGAATAGGCAGATCCACTGAAATACACTGCTGAGAGGAGCATCAGGAGAGACAGGAGAGGTCTGCTGTGCCATGTGGGTTAGCTCCCTGGCCAGGGGATTGAACTCAGGCAGCAGTGGCTGGCAATAGCTTGACAGCACTGAGACTTTAACCCCTGCACTATGAGGAGGCCCCTGATCACAATTATACAGCAGAAAATATTATTTTTTTTAAAGATTTTATTTTGTTTTGTGTAGAAGAACTGGGGTGTAGGCCAGAGGTGTGGGAACAGGGGTGAGAGGATTCACCAGAGAGAGTGGGGAGCAGAACAGGCAGATCTATTGAAATAACAATGCTAAGGGGAGCAGCAGGCGAGACAGGAAAGGTTTGCTGTGCCATGTCGATTAGCTCCCTGGCCAGAGTTTGAAATGAGGCCGTCACAGTGGGCGTTCGAGGTGGAAGCGCTGAGACTTACCAACCCCTAGGCCGCCAGGGAGACCTAGGAAATATTTTTAAGCCACAGTGAATACAATCAAGTAACTGCTTCGATTTTCAGATATGTATCTTCATGGTAAATCAAGTATAACTAGTTCTTGGATCATAAACAAAAATTTTCTAGGTTAGTAACTGAAAAATACATGTTTGAAGATTAATTTTCCAAAGATGTATTGTATACTTATTGTGGGTGAGATGCTGTGCACTTTGTGGAATGGACTCAGCTGTTAAGATGCAGAGCTAGAATTCCTAATTAAATTTGAAAAGTGGCGCTTAGCATATGTATAATAGGGAGAGCAATATAAGAGAAAGTTATTTATGAGCAACAGAGAACTCCAATGTCTAGCAGGTTGAATCTACAAAATCAGCAAGTACTGTGCTTGGAAATGTGGCACCACCTCTGAGCTGCACTGAAATAACTCACAAGGCGACATAATTTCCAGACTACTCAGACACCCTGCTAAAATGTCTGTTGGAGTATATGTATGGACATGTATGACTGTGAATTTGCAAAGATGTCCCCCAATAAAAGCTAAAGCTATGCAATTTAAAAAATCTTGGCAATGCTTATGACTGAATTAAATTTACTACTTTGAAACCTGTCAGACATGGATCCTCTTGTGAATCTTGGCACATATCTCTTTTAGGGTTAAATCTAGTATGAGGGGATTAATCTCAGTAAATCTGAGACAGTTTTGAATTCCAAGAATATTCAAGTTTGGAGACTTCAAGTGAAAAAACTACGTAAAATATAACTTGGAAAAGGAAGCCTTTCAAATGAGATATTAGAAAAATTTTGGTAGATTAAAAACTCCTTATTTCAAGAGGTGCTTTTGTATGGATTGTATAAACCGTTTAACTTAAAAGGGATAAATAAACTCAGCAGATAGGCAAAAGAATATCCAATAACTTTTGGGGGGATTAACAAATCATCAATATTAAATTTCTAAAATATTATATATGTTGTTTTAGACGGGCTGCAAATTGCTTAACAAACTTCAAATGTTACAAAAAGATTTTTGAGTATTGCCACTTTTATGTGAAGAAAACACTTATTTAGAAGCAACAGGTAAAAATGATGGGAGAGCACATTTGTTAACTGGAACAAGTGTGGAATCTTTAGTGTTAGAAAACCATGTTATTTTTGATGGGGTAAAATCAATATAATTGATATAAGCACAAAAAGATATACATTTCTGAGGCACCAGGGTAATTTATGTATCATTTACCTGAATATATTGAAATTCTCTCCACGTCAAAGAGTCACTCACAGATGGAAGAGATGTCACAGCCAACAGAGCCAGTATTGCAAGTGCCACAATTCCCAGGGACACATAAATTTCCATTCTCCAGACATCATGCTCAATCCAGGCATCTTCTTTATTTTGTTGGACCTATCAGAGGGTGGAAAGAGGCAGAAGCAAACAAATAACATGTTTTCTGTATAAGAACCTCCTTCTTTACTCCCTCTGTCCACTATGAAGACCCTGCAATAACTAGTCTTCATAAATGTATGACTTTGCTTTTGCAATCCTTCAAGGAAATGACATAGGAGCTGTTGATCTTTCCTTGAGTGCAACATTTATATACTCTATTTGATGGTTAGAATTGTGTTTACTATTTGCATCTTAAATTTTTCACTGTAAAACTGTACAACCAAATCTCAATGAAGAGTTATAATGAAACAATTTTAAATGTGAATTACTTTTTCAACACTGGGATACTGACATTAAAATAAGAAAGTGTTAATCTGTTAGGCTTTTAAATTCAGTCATATTGTTCATATCATAATCCTACCTGTTGATAAGCCCAGTTTAGCAACTTGTATCTGTAGGATCGTCTCATTGGATAGGATAAACTATAAATTGCATGCAGTACAGCAAAAAAGAAACTGAGAAGCCCAAATTGCTTTCTTGTTAGCATCCATCTATCCAACCAATGTGGAAACTTCTTGTACTTGGTTCCATTATGAAGCTGTACAACTGCTGCTATCACACCTGGCAAATAAACCAGTGCCAAGAGGGTGATAGAAACCATTGGCAAGACTTTGTTAATGACCAGGATTGGAATTTTATAAAAATACTGTTGACGGGAAGTTACAAAAGGGTGAATTATTTCCCTCAGAAGAGTGTAAAGAAAAGTCAGAGATGATACAATAGCAGCAATTTTAATTGGTAAGCGCCACTTTGGAAAAAGCTCCTGCTTGTGTTGAAGCTCTGGAGGGCAATCAAATTCATCATAGTAGGTTGTTTGGTGCAAGTCCAAAAGCACAGGTCTTTTCAGCATGCTGGTTTCTCCTGAGTTCTTACTCTACAATGAAAAGAAAACAAACATCTTAAAATTGAATAAAACACTGGGATTTCTCTTAAATTACTTGTTCATTGTGCTTATCAGGGAAAGAAAAGGACATTCAAAACTATACTTTGGATATCTGTTAGCTGACAGTAGCTATGTTTATGTAGTTCTAATCAAAGGTGCACCTAGGTACATTGGGATTTCCCATTCATTTTTCTTTAAGCCAAAAGAAATACAGGCTTCAGATACATCCACCAAAGTTTATACTGCTGCATTTCTATCTTGAAGGCATGAAAGAAAGGAATAATTCAATGAAAAAACTGATACTGACAAACGTAAAAAAAAAAAAATCCAGTAATCTTTGGCAAAAATAATATAATTTGTAAGTTGTAATAGTTGTGTTTATTTTATAATATTTTTGTTGGTTACTGGATAAATCTCTGCAACAACTGAAGACTAAATTCTTCATTAAGTCAAATACAAAGGAATAGTAATAATATAATTATTATTATTAAACATTAGCAGTTTCCATCATGTAGTACTGTAATGATTTTATATTTCTAAAATATCTCCTTTGTGTAAGTACTGACAGACAAATGGTCTGCAAGAAGCTATAAAGGAAATATAAGTAGCAAAATCCCACAGGGATTATCTATTTCCTGAAAACATTATCCAGCTGCATTTCTAGGTAGTCAGCAATTCAACAGAAAGTTGATGATAAATATTTTGTCATTTTCCCAATTAACCAATATATCAGCAAACAAAAAACCCCAAAAACTTATTTCAGAATGTTTAATATTGTTACTTTATGAATAAATTCACTTTTATATCCAATATCATCCCTCATTTCTTTAGTTCAAAATGTAGATCCATGTTTTAATGCCTGAAATAATATTGATTATCTTGATCATTTCCTCATTTTATGCAGATTAACTTTAATTCATATAGTTCTCTTTAGCTTCTAGAGTTGAAAAATGACTGCTTACTGCTTGACTTTTTTTCAGTAATAAATCTCTGCTAGATCTAAAATTTTTTCCAATTATTTCATTTAGAAGGGAGTTGATGAGCATGAAACAGTTTCTGTCATCTGTGAATGTTAATACAATCTAAGTACAATCATTTGCCATCCATTTTCTGGTTAAGAGTGGAGAACAGTAAAGCTGCAACTGGGATAGCTAACTTGAAAATGAATATGATTCCATTTTATTCATACTTTATTATTCATACTTATAATATTTTAATATATTATAAGCTTATAATATATTAATTTTTATAGGAAAATAATTAAGGTATGCAGTGGTGAACGACTATGGGTGCTTTGGTGTTAACATACATTGTAAGATGTGTGAACCTGTTCCCCTGAATCATATACATCTTATAAATCAATATCACCACAAGAAAATATAAAATAAAAGTTAAAATAATTTCATTAAAATTGTAGTTGAGATCAATTAGAAAATTAAAAAGAGTTTGGACCCAAAATTGCCACAACCTTGGGCCTCCCCGGTGGTGCAGTGGTTGAACGCTGGGCTGCGAAGCTGCCCTCAGCCTCTGTAGCGCCTGCTCAATCCCCGGCCACCGGTGAGGGTCCCACATGGTGCGCAGACCTCTCCTGCCACGCCCGCTACTCTCCTCAGCAGTATATTTCATCGGTCTGCCAGTTCTGTTCCCAGCTCTGGCTCTGGTGAATTCTCTCACTCTCCTGCGCATCTGACTGTACCCAGTGCTTGTATAAATAAATAAATAAATCTTAAAAAAAAAAAAAAAAAATTGCCACAACCTTTTTAGTTGGTAAGAAACATTTAATCTTGAGTTGGCACAAAAGTGGGACAAGTGATTCTTTTCCAAAAATGATTTGCTTTGGTTAAACAATGATGCATCAATTTACTTGATGATCTCTTGGTAAACTGCCATGGTGACAAAAACATACAGGCTTACAAAACTATGGGCACTAGTGACACTTAAAAAACAGACCCACAGAATGTCGGAAAGAATTGGAAGGGCATTGGAGGTTATTCAGTCCAACTCGCTCACATTATTGATAAACCAAAAGCTAGAATTTTCAGTGACTCATGAAAGGTTATTCAGCTAGTCTTTGACAGTCAGTTGAGGTACCATTTCTCTCATACATTACACTACTCTTCACTCATCACAATATCATGACAGTAATCACTGAAGATATCAGCAGACTGGGGTGAAAATCACTTTTACAACACTGGAATATATAGAGAAGCATTTGAGTTATGTTTACAGATTTGAATTAATCATCATTATTATTTTACCAAATAATTATCTTCTTCTAGACTTCTCCTAGGCTTCATTTTCCAAAGTTCTTCTTGGTTTGTGATGCTTTGTCTGTTCTCCATTAATTTTATAAAGTAGTACAGCTTCAGCCACCTGTAAAAATAAAAATTATTTTCTTTGTCTTTGCCCTTTATGATGTTAATATTTGACAGGACAATATGAAAAATTTACTGATATGGTGGAATGGCAGATAAAATACAGTTAAAATGAAGTAGTAGCTGGGCCTCCCCTGGTGGCGCAGCGGTTGAGCGCTGGGCTGCGAGGCTGCCTGCAGCCTCTGCAGTGCCGGTTCGTTCCCCAGCCGCTGGCGAGGGTCCCACAAAAAAAAAAAAAAAAAAAAAAGTAGTAGTAGCTGATTTACACATTCAACCTTACTATAAGCTGCAAGACTCTCAAAACAGTGCATTTGTGTCAATAACTGTCTAATTTTGTGCAATGAATGCCCACTCCAGATGCTCACTTAGAGGAAAATCAAGCCCCCTTAAAAGCAAATAGAGGGGCCTCTCTGGTGGAGCAAGGGGTTAAGACACAATTTATGAAGTTGTCCATAGCCACTGCAGTACGAGTTTGATGGCCAGTCAGGGAGCTACCCACATGGCACAGCAGACCTCTCCTGACTCGCCCGCTGCTCCCCTCAGCAGTGTATTTCAGTACATCTGCCCGTTCCGTTCCCCACTGTCTCTGGTGAATCCTCTCACCCCTCCACACCTCGGGCCTGTACCCCAGTTCTTGTATGCATAAATAAATCTTTAAAAAAATAAAGGCAAATAGAATTAGGAATTCATCCTTTTTTAGAGGATCAATGTTAGCAAGGGAAGTTGGCCTAGCAGACACAAGATTTTACTTCAGTGATTGTAAATGGGATTGTTTTCTTGATTTCTTTCTCTTCTAAAACATTATTTGCAATATAGAAACATAATAGATTTTTATTGATTTTGTAGTACTGCCCCTTCACTGTATTGATATATTATTTCTAACAGTTTTTTTTCAAAAGATTTATTTATACATATGAGAACTGGGGTACAGGTCAAAGGTGTGGGGGTGAGAGGATTCACCAAAGACAGAATGGGGAGCAGAACAGGCAGACTGACTGAAATATACTGCTGAAGGGAGCAGCAGGCAAGACAGAAGAGGTCTGCTGTGCCATGTGGGTAGCTCCCTGGCCTGGAATCAAACTTGTGCTGCAGAGTGCTGTGACTTAATCCCTTGTACCATCAGGGAGGCCCCTGTACTCAATAATTGACATGCCCACTCTCCTGGTCAACCCACTGGAAATTAATTTCGTGAAACTTCCTACCCTATAACGGAATCTTTTTCTTAATGCCCTTCACAGATTCTCATTCAGACCTGGTGTACCATTTTTTCAGGAAGGGAAATACATGATGTCACAATATTATTCACTGTCTTTATTAGTTCTAAATTTATTTCCAGAGGAATACATCACCAATTCCTATTTCATGTAATTCAATGAGAAAAACAGAATATATAATCTTATGGACAAAAAAAGATTGCAAATGTTTCTGAATTTTATTTTATTTTTTTAAAAATTAAAAAAAAATATTTATTTATTTATTAAAGATTTATTTTTATTTATACAAGCACTGGTTACAGTCAGAAGCGTGGGAGGGTGAGAGAATTCACCAGAGCCAGAGCGGGGAGCAGAGCAGGCAGAAAGACCGAAGTACGCTGCTGAGGGGAGCAGCGGGCAGCAGGAGAGGTCTGCATGCCATGTGAGACCCTCCTCCGGTGGCCGGGGAGCAGCCAGGGATTGAACCGGTGCTGCAGAGGCTGCGGGCAGCTTCGCAACCCAGCGCTCAACCGCTGCGCCACTGGGGAGGCCCTGTTTCTGAATTTTAGAGCACATTAATACTTTACAAGTGGGCAGCTGTTTCTAAGGATTAGCTTAAAATACTTAAAACATTTACAACTTTTAAATGTTTGCTCTTCACAAAGAATAAATAAGAATCAGCTTTATATAATGCCAGCATTTGTCTTTCTTGAATACTCTTGGAACATTTTCCAGATACATTATTTGAAATTTCACAATACTCTTGGGGAAGGTTTTTGTTGCATTGATATGCTCATATTCTTTCCCGACTTTTTTACAATCTATATCATTTCCTCCATTTGCAGAAATGCTCTTCCTTTGGTCACAAAAGTGGGCATATGACTCAGTCCTGGCTAATCACAGTTCTCTATTCCCTTGATCATAGATTGACTTAGTGATAGCATACAACACTAGCTGAACCAAATGGAATACTTTAGTAATTATATACGAAAGTGGAAGAGAAAGATGTTTTTAATGTTTTGTTGAGACAAAAGTCTATCATGCTTTTTTCTATGCTGTAAGAAGAAAGCCATACTCATCAGAACAGAAGTTCACAGACCCAAGTATAAGTAAGAAATGGGAAAAAATACTGATGAATACTGGTGGCATATTGTAAATATTTAGAGTCCCTGAGACCAGTTCCTAAATTTTGCAGTTACACAGGTAATACTTTCTCTTTTTTGCTCAAGTTAGTTTAAGTTGTGTGTTCATAATTTGGAATTTGAAAGAGTTATAAGTAAAACATACGCCAATCATCAAGTATATATTAACTCAACCCTAAGATAGTGATGTTGTTTTTGGAATAAGTGGGTTTGGAGTGCGGGGTCCCTGGGTTCACTCTGGGAAAGGTTTCACCAGAGCTCCCCTTTTATCAGCACGCAGTGAGTTTCCCAGGCAAGTTTCTCCACGAGGCAGAGAAGTTACTTATATTTAAAGAGCATGTTTATTAGAGAAAGGGACAGAAAGTAAAGGACACTTGCATAGACACAAGTGGGCAGGAAGAGCCGCCCAGGTTTGCTGAGAGAGGCCTGCATGGCTGTAGGCAGGCGGCCTTGAGGAGAGCTGCCTTCGCTGAGGGAGGTCCGTGAAGAGAAGCCCAGCTATAGGTCACGGGCAGGCAGGAGGCTGCTGCCCTGCTGAGGGAGAGAGTTGGTGAAAGGAAGCACCTGCATAGTCACAGGTGGGCAGAAAGACTGCTGCCCCTTTGTGAGGGCAGTGTTAGGTTTTATCATCTTCAGGGAGGGGCTCATCATTGTGGGTGGATGGGCTGTGCTTCCTGACACTCCTTATAGCAATCATATAGTTTTTGTGTGTGGCGCCTCCTGATCTGGGCGTTGATGCCTAAAGGTCTTGGTTTCTGTAACTGGGTTAATGGTTTACACTAATCGCTTCTACCCCTACCTCCTTGTGTGAGTTAGGTTCTTGATCTTGTAGCTCCTTTCCAGTTTTTCTATTCTTATCCATCAATAGTACTGAGAAGGAAATATTGAAATGAGACTGCATGTCTGTTCTGAGGAGCTTACAGTCTTTTTTCTTTTCTTTTCTTTTTTTTTTTTTTTAAAGATCTATCCATTTATGCATACAAGAGCTGGGGTACGGGCCAGAGGGGGGTGGGTGAGAGAATTCACCAGAGACAGAGTGGGGAACAGAACAGGCAGACTGACTAAAATACACTGCTGTGGGGAGCAGCGGGCGAGTTAGGAGAGGTCTGCTGCGCCATGTGAGTTGCTCCCTGGCTGGCAGGGGATCTAACTTGTGCTGCAGAGGCTGCAGATTGCATCACAGTGTGGTGCTTAACCCCTTGCACCACCAGGGAGGCCCTCTATTTTCTTAAGGAGCATTATTCCAAGCCATTTAGTGGTTTAGCCAACATTATAAATGTATGTGTGTGTGTGTGTGGGGGGGGTGATTTGTCTAGGAGTAGAAGTTTATCTACTGTAATCAAAGACAAGAAATAATTCACTACATTTAAAAGACGTTTTAACTCTGTGAGCTGCAGGATGGCACAGATAACATAAATTTACATTTATCCATATTAACTCAATAACTAGATTGTGTACAACAATGGAAGGGAGTTGGAACGCAAAGTTAAATGAGATGGAGTTTCTGCTCGCCAACTCTCAAAGACTGGCAGATAAGGCAGATATTTGAACAAGTAACTTCACGATACAACGATGAATAATGAAGGAAGACGATGTTATATGGATAGAGGGTGGCATGAGAAGGGTGATGCCTCTCTAAACCTGGTCCTGGGGCTTCCGGCAGGTGGGCAGTGTTTGCTGATTGAGGGCCACTATGCACAGAAACAGAATGATGTGCTACCCAGTCACTGGTCTGCGCCTTAGGGACATCAACCAGAGAGAAAAGTCAAAGAAAAGTCTAGGGCTGTTAGAAAGCTTTTGACTGTGTGGTGTGGCTCACAGTTAATTTTGTACTCAGAAGCCAAGAAAATAAAATATCATTCAAGTAAAATATGTTGGTTTCCTTTAGACATTAACCAATGGGTAATATAAGGTCTACAGTAGAATCTTTTCATACAAAAAAATAAATAACAGGAAACAGCACACTGTTCAGATGGTAGGAACTCCAGAATTGACCTAAATTTCGCTAATTTTCATCCCCATTAAAAGCAAAGCATATTTCTGATGTGACTGTTTCTGTTTTGCTGTGCCAGTGCAGATGACCCCATGTTTCTGCTAAATATTGACACAGCCCAACCTACTCATGTTTATGTAGAAGAGTTTAGAATATGACGAACTCAGTGACTGGGATAACCTGTGAATTGCCCTGCATTTCCAAACCTTGTATATTCTCTCCCGTGTGCACACTGGAACTGAGTGAGGGGAGATGCATTTCTTCAAGGGGTTGTTTTTTTCAGTATTGCTTCCTCCCTGTGCTTAACATTGTGTGCTAAATGAATGACCTTTCATTTTCATGAAATGTCAAGCTATTGAGAGATTTTTTTTTTAACAAAAGTAACAGAGGAATTTGGAAGCAGACGTAAATTTTATGTCTACAAACTTTCCAGTGGACTTGATCCATAACATATTTAAAACCTTGGGGCCTCCCTGGTGGCGCAAGGGGCTAAGATGCAACTTATGAAGCTCCCCACAGCCAACAGACCATGAGTTCGATCCCTGGCCAGGGAGCAACCCACATGGTGCAGCAGACCTCTCCTGACTCACCCGCTGCTCCCCTCAGCAGTGTATTTCAGTCAGTCTGCCTGTTCTGCTCCCCACTCTGTCTCTGGTGAATCCTCTCACTCCCCACAACTCTGGCTTGTACCCCAGCTCTTGTATGCATAAGTAAACAAATCTTAAAAACACACACACAACATATTTAAAGCCTTGACTAACTTATCTGGGGGCACTTGTATGCCTACCCAGATCCTGAAAGAGTAGGACAAATATTCCAGGGGCTTAAAAGGAAAACTTCCTGTTCCTAGGGGACCTGCAGACGAGCCGCGCCACTTCACCGGCCTTGTATCAATCATTCATGAGCAGAGACCAACTCCAACCAACTTTGCCAAATCGGAAAACTCGCCATCAGAACCCAACTTTAGGGCGGACTTAATATCCCACCATAACCCCAGCCCCTAGAGAAAAGGCTTCCTGGGGAGCCCCTGCTCCGGGCCCCAGGCCGCCGCGGCTGAACTAAATGCGGGGCGGGGAGCGGGGGTGCAAGGGGCGGCTCTGGAGGGCGCGGGGAGGGCGCCCGGCGCGCGCGGGTCCCGCAGCTGCGCCCCCAGCCCGCGGCCGCTCCCGCCACACCCCTCCCGCGGCTCCCCGGCGGCGCCCCTCGCAGGGGCCCGAGGAGGCGCGGAGCGAGCGGCGAAGCAGAGGGCTCAGGGGACTCACCCGCTCCTCGGCGTGACCTGCCGGTAAGTCGCGGCCGCGGCAGCTGCGAGGAGGTGCCGGCCCCACGCGGCGCCGGGGGAGCCGGGGAGCTGAGCCGGCTGCGCGCGGCCGACCCCGCCTCCGGCGCGGGGGCCTCTGCAGCGCCCCCTGCTGGCGCCCGGCGGCCGCGCCGCCTCTGGTCACGGCGGCCCCGGGTCCTGGCGGCCGGACCTGTTTCTCCACCTGGCGAGGCGGCGGCTCTCGCTTTCCCTTCCCTTAGCCCTGGTCTCTGTCCTGGGTGTTCCCCGACCTCCCGCGCTCGCCTTGCTTTCCTGTCCCAAGTGCCCAGCATTTGTGCAGGCCTGGAGGGGAGCGGTGCGCAGACTTTGACCTTGTCACCTGTAGGGATTGTTCAACAGCGGGTTTGGGACCCGCTCACAGGTGCCTTTTCTGGACGCCTGGGATGGGGCCGTTTCTTTTCTTTTTTCTTTTATGCATTTTTACATCATTTTTCATTTTTGCACAATGAATGCGTTTTCATCTTGATTATAGTCCCCATACAATTCCCACCCCCCTTGTTTTGATCCTACACCCTCCCCCACCCCCCCTTAGTGTGTCTCTGGTTTATAGTTGCTTGTTGATTTTGATTTTTACTTTATTATAATTAGTCTTTTTCCTGGTCCTTTATTTAGGTTTCTTAAATTCCTGCTATGAGTGAGACCATCCGGTATTTTTCGTTTTCTTTCTGGCTTATTTCACTGAGCATGATCCCTTCTAGCTCGGGTGGGGCCCGTTTCTAATCAGTTCCCAGCCAGGCAGAGGCACACTTAGCTCACACTTAGAGATGGGTGGCTTTAGAAATTAGCTGGCACATTTCAAACGTCACAGTAATTCTGTGAAGTGGCTGTTTTTACCATTCGGGAATCCGAATTTAAATCTCCGCGGGTGACTTGTCTTCTAAATTGTCCAAATCTTGTGCTCTAAACTGTGCAGACCCTTCCTCTGAGGTACAAGCTCTTAAAACGCACATTTACTTCTTATTTCCTCACCTTCTAAAGGTTACTTCTGTGCCCCAATGCAGTCAAGCTTTCCAAATCTAAAGCTCAGTTACTGTCAGACTTTAAAAAGTTTCATGGTTTTTTAAAATCTGAGGGGGATGAAGAAAGTGGGATTTACTCCTCTGAGCTGGAGCCAACCTCAGGGTAGTGTCTCAGACCCGAATTGCAACATCCTGGGATTTGGTGTACAGTATTCCCAGAACTAGTCCGATTAGAAAATACAGATGAAAATAAACATTCAACCACATTTTCCATGAATTATTGTTTTCTCATAGCCAGGGGACCAGAAAGTTCATGTTTCTCTGTGTAGTTTTTAGTAGTCATTGACCTTCCATGTGGTGGTGTTAAAGGCCTTTGAAGGTTAAGTTACTAGGGACTGATTCCTTATGGTAGGAGTAGAATCTTAGGCTTTTTATTTCTAGTGAAACCAGAAAAGAGTCATTTAAGAAGTTTTAGAAAACTAATCTGTGTGTGGGGGCACAGACTGCAAAACATTGCGACCATTTATTAAATGCGTAGGTATTGTTGAATTTTTAAAGTGATCATGAGTCTTAAATGGTGAAACAAAGCAATATGCACACATTCTTTACAATTTCTTTTCTTACAATTTTTTTTTTTTTACAATTTCATAATCTGTTTTCCACAAGACGAGTGCAAGGAAGTTATTATATTAATATAAACTGAATAGCAAACATCACTTAAAACTGCTTTCTACCTTCTAGTCAAAATGCTTAAAATCAAGCCCGAAATATTTTTGTTTTATTATTAGACTAACAATTTTGTTTTGCACTCCTTCCAACAGTTTTTTTTTTTTTGTTTAACATTTTAGTCTGATGAATAAATACAGTATGTTTCAAAGTAAAATGATAGGAAATGTATGGCTGTTTACTACTTAGGTTGTAGATATTGTAAAGGCAACACAGTACTGAATTTAAAAAATGACATTAAAGAACTTTTATTGACTTGTCAGGAGTTAATATTACTGATGAAATTTCTGCAGTTTGGATGATTTCTGTGACTAGCATATGGGATGAAGAGAAAGATTTCTTTGGAGAAATATAAACCAAAGACATCTGAAAATGCTCTGAGTCAGCCAGCCACAGACTTTTCAAAATCAGTATGGGTGGGAAATAGTGTCATGCTATTACAAATATTGAAAATCACAATGCTAGTTTGAGTATGACTACTAAGACTAGGGAATTTTAAAATAGGAATTCATCTGCAAGTTACAAACTTGGGTCATTTGGATATTTTGTAATAAACTTTAGCAAGAAAGAATATTAGCAAAAATTGTTCTCCAGTGTTGCTGGGGATGGACTATCAAGCTAGTGATTTCCCACTAACACATTGTTGGGAAATCATTGTAATTTAGAATCAATGAGTTCTTTTACCTGAACAACCTAATTTTAGAACTTGATGGGATTGTCATTCAGGAAGTAAACAGAATAAAATAGTGTGAGAGAGAAAATAAAAAATGATCATACTATTAAAGATGATCACAATGTGTAATAGAGAATAAGTTGTAGATGAATGAAAAGAACTGTCCAAAGTTTTTCTCCTTGGGAAATCGAACTAACTCCTAAGGGCACACGCACAAAAAAAGATTAGCAGTATTTCCAAATCTACCTCTTATTGCATAAGAATGGTCAGACTTATATTAAGAGGAGACAAAATCACTTACCTTCAAGGAGAAATATTCTGTCAAAGTGGTTGTTTTAGCATGGATCACGGTAAAGCTTATCTGGTGTAACTGATTCTACTAAACTAATATGACTAATTCTCTTCATTAGTTTAAGATCTGCTGGTAAAGTAATGTTTAGAGTATGTGGTCAGTTTGTCCCTAGTATCTGTGTGTGAAAATGGCTGGGGGTATAGAGAAGGTCTACCTGTGGGATTGGATTAAAATTTCTTCTATGTATTTCCCCCAACTCAAGCCCTTTATTGTTCATTCGATAACACAATCAACAGTCAACATCAATTGTAGATGGTTTATTTTGAGGCTGACAGATCAAACTCTAACCAATTACTACTTGAATGATGCTCAAAATTCCATGACTAAATATTTTCAATTGTCTTTGAATCTGTTTTATCTATCAAAAGGCTAAAATTCCTGGAAATTGTACTCCTTTAAGCCTTACCAATTATTTGTATCCTACTGTAAATAAGTAATTCAGTACTCTTTGGGAAAATTTGTTCTGGCATATAGAGTGAAATATAAAGATGTTGAAGACTTATATTGGAGGCGTATTAAATGATTTATTTTTAAAAAATGTATCTTAGTCATTCTTTCTAGTGTTTTAGGTTCCCATCTGTTGCTCAACAAACTTTTTTTTTGAGATATAGTTGCTACATAACATTTTATTTGTTTCAAGTATATAACATGATTTTATATATATATATATATATATATATATATATATATATATATATAGCAAAATGATTACCGGGATAATTCTAGTAACATGTTACTATACGTAATTACAATTTTTTCTTGCAGTGAGATCTTTTAAGAAGTACTCTCTTACCTACTTTTGAATATGCAATACAGTATTAACTATAGCTACCATACTATACATTATATCTATATTATTTATTGTATAAATGGCAGTTTCTATCATTTGACCCCCTTCACCAGTTTTTCCTATCCCCCACCCCTCTCTCTGTCAACCTCCAGTTTGTTCTCTGTGGCTATGAACTTACTTGTTTGTTTTAGATTCTACATATAGTGAAGATCATTCAGTATTTGTATTTTCTTCTGATTTATTCCACTCAGCATAATGCCCTTAAGGTCCATTTGTCACAAATGGCAAGATTTTATTCTTTTTTATGAGTGAGTAGTATTCCATTGTGTGTGTGCATGCACACATACGCATCTTTATCCATTCATCTACCAACAGACACTTAAGTTGTTTCTGTGTCTTGGTTATTGTAAATAATGCCATAATGATCATAATGGTGTAGATATCTCTTTGAGTTAATATTTTCATTTTCTTTGGATAAATACCTAGATCATGTGGTAAGTTCTAGTTTTAATTTTTGGAGTAGCATCCATAATGTTCCCATAGTGGATGCCCCAATTTACATTACCATCAGAAGTGCACAAGAGTTCTCTTTTCTCTACTTCCTCACCAACATTTGTTATTTTTTTTATCTTTTTAATAATAGTCATTCTAACAGATTTGAGGTAATGTCTCAGTGTGTTTCTGATTTGCACTTCTCTGATGATTAATGATGTTGAGCACCTTCCTTTTCATGTGCCTTTTGGTCAGGTCACTTGTATGCCTTCTTTGGAAAAATGTCTATTCAGAGCTGCTCATTTGTTAATTGGATTTTTTTTTGCTTCTGAGTTGTATAAACTATTTTCTTTAAATCACTCTGTTGGTCCTTTGTGTTATAGTAGCTTAGCACATACCCTAGCATTCTTGATATTATATTCTTTTCTGAGTTTTTAAATATGTGTTTATGTTTTATGTGTTTGTTACCATCACTAACATTTGAATTTTAGAAGAGCAGAGATCATTCCATTTTAGCCCTGTATGCCTTGTAACTTAGAACTTGATGGAATAGATTTATTGTAGTTGTTTGTACAATATAACTTTAACCATGGATCTGAGCACAATTGTATACATGTATATTATATGTTCATAAGTAGTCAGGAGCTGATAAATAATGATGAAGAATACTTTGGGAAAAATTTAATGAAGAGTAACTGGTCAATAATGTTAAGTGCTACTAAAAAATCATAAAACATAGGAAATGAACAAATATTCTGTTGGACCCAACATTTAATAGGACTTTTCCAACTATGTGAGAACAAGTACTAAGTACTTCCAGGAAGAGTTGGGGAAGGAGAGAATGAAGAGAGTGAAGACAATTACTCTCGCCTTCCCATAAGGTTGAATAAGAAAGGAAAGAGAATTGGGGCAAGCAGTTACAGAATCGTTTTTTTTTTTTTAAGGATGAGAGAGATTATTCTTTTTTTTTAGAAGATTTATTTCTTTATGCATACAAGAACTGGGGTATAGGCTAGAGATGTG